CTGGCCGTGGCCTGTTTTGAACTGTTTTAAAAAAATTGATTTTAGAGAGAGGAAGACAGACAGAGAGAGACAGAGAGAGAAACATCAATGTGAAAGAGAAACATTGATTGATTGCCTCCTATACATGCCCTGACCGGGAATCAAACCCGCACCTTTTTGTGTATGGGCTGATCCTCCAATCAAACAAGCCACACCAGCCAGGGCTGTTTTGAACTTTTTATCTAGTTGAATGCTTTTCTTTAGTTTAGTTTTTTTTTTCTTTTCTTTTTTTTCTTCTGGAGTATTGGCCTGTTCTTTCATTTGGAGCATAGTGCTCTGTCTTCTCATGTTTACTATCTCTCCGTGTTTGTTTCTATGTGTTAAATAGGTCTGTGATGTCTCTTGATCTTTAAAGAGTGGCCTATGTAGAAGGTGTCTTATGGGACTCAGTGATGCAATCCCCGTTGGTCACCAGAGCCTGGTGCTGCAGGAGTGTCTCTGTGTGGTTTGCATGGGTCTTCCTGTTTTAGTTGGGTATGGTTGCTTTGGTCACATCAATGGGTGGGTTGACCATCAGGCTAACAGGCTGTGTGGACTGGCCTTTAGTTTTCTGACATGCTGATTAGTGAGTACTGGACCCAGAAAGTGGGAATAGTTCTAGTGGGGATCCAGTGCCAGCTGAGGCCACCAATTGGGTGTGTTGGTTTTAGAACTGATTGAGTGGGTCTCTGTTTTGAGCTGAGCCTGGCCTTCAAGTGTGTTAGGTCTGGAGCCTCTTGATGTGGAGCTCCAGTGTGGGCCATGGATGGCTGCTGCTTGTGCCATGCTTGGGGCCATTTGGTGGGTGCTACAATATGAGTCAAAGCCAGCTATCACTTGTTCCAGGGTTGGGGTAACTTGGTAAGAATTACAGTGCAAGAATTGGACAGCTGTCATTTGTGGTAGACTTGGGGCCATTTGGTGGGAGCTATGATGGGAACTGAGGCTGATTGCCACTTGTGCTCAGCTTGGAGCTGCTTGAGAAAGGTTGCAACATGAGCCAAGGCTGGCCACTGCTTGTGCCATGCTTGGGATCACTTGATAAGAGCTACAATGTGAGTTGAGGCCAGCCCCCACTTGTGCAGGGCTTGGGGCTGCTTGGGAAAGGCAATCTGAGGTGGGCCACCAATTCTGCCAGGCTTAGGGCTGCTTGGTAGGAGCTACAATGTGAGCTGAGGCTAGCTGCTGCTTGTGTTGGGCTTGGGGCCATTTTATGGGAGCTAAAATGTGAGCCAAGGCAAGTTGTCACTTGGGCCAGGCTTGGGGCTACTGGATTGGAGTTACATGCAAACTGAAGCTGGCTGCCTCTTGTGCCGGACTTAAGGCTGCTTAGTAGGAGCTCTTATGTTAGCCAAGACTAGCCACCACTCGGGCCTGCCTTGGGCCTACTTGGGAAAGACTTTGATATGAGCTGAGGGCAGTGGCCACTTGTGCCAAGCTTGAGGGTACTTGGAAAAGACTACAATGTAAGCTGAGGCTTGCTGTCATGTGTGTGAAGAGCCTAGAGCTGGTTCGATGAGGCTCTAGCTGGGGAAAGCCCATTGGGTGGGGTGGGATCTCACGGGGGTGAATGATGTTAGCTAGGTTAATGGAGGATGACAGATTTGGCTCCCACCTGAAGTGGACTAGGCAGGTGGAAGTAGAGCACAACTAAAGAAACATAGTAACAATGGCACCTGCCAGTGCTTCTGTTCCTAGACAGCTTCCACTGATCCTTGCCACTGTGGACTTTGCCCTGAAGTTAGTCAATTTAATTATTCCCTATATGACCCAGGTACTTCTTGAACTGCTCCCTCCATGCTGGAGTTTGGAGCTAGTGAGTTTATGTATGAGCCCTTTAAGAACAGCATCTCAGTCTCCCACTGCCATGTATCCCACATAATCCTGCTGTTTTTCAAAAACATGTTTTAAGGACTCCTATTCCTTGCACAGAACTGGAGCAATCCATGGGGGATGAACTGTTTTTTGGGTCTGTGGGCATCTTCCTGCACTGGCATGGGCTGAGAACTTGGATCTGTGGGAATACCCCTGGATCTTGGGGCCATGGGGACTAGCCTGGTGGTATAGAAATGTATTAAATAACTTTTTTGAGGTATAATTTACACACAATAAAATTCACTATTTTATGTGTACAATTCAATGATTTTAAATAAACTTATCAAGTTATGCAACTATCACCTCAATCCAATTTTAGAACATTTCCATCACCCTAGTAAAATCCCTGATGCCTGTTTACAGGTAATCCAGACAGGGGTTTTTAATTTCAATTAGACACATGTATTAAAGGGGAAGCAGTGAACATCTGTGGGATAAACGTTTGTCAAAATGGGAACTTTCCCCAAAGGAAAGTCAGATACTATATGTATCTGACTTGATTATTGACATCGTCTCATTTCCGCCAAGAGTTCCTTTTCATGAGCTTTTCTTTGTTCAAATCTTGGGTGATTATGTGTTTTAAGAAGGAAGGCCATTCACTGATAGGACCTCTTCACCTTTTTATTTTTTCATGTAGCTAGCAGTAAATAGTTCTTACACAATTAAAAAGCAGTTATGGGCTTGGTGCATAGATAAGAAAGTAGCTGAGATATTATGGAGAGTTTTATGTTTTCCAGTGTTCTAGAACAAAAAAGCCATCAGTGGTAGCACTGGAGAAGGAAATAGGCAAGAAAAATCTGGGGTCCAAGAATGAATAGGAACTCCAGTGAATTGGACCCAAGATGGTACCTAGTAGGTGTCTTCAGCTCTTCACAATTGTGCCTGATTGCTATTTGTCTAGTGCTATATAGAAGTGTGGCTTTAATCTCCCCAAATTTAATATGTCTGTATTATAGTTGATGTATCTATCAGGATAGACTCTTAGATGTGAAAGGAACTCTAAAGATAATCTATTCTGTCAGATATATTTATTAATATTTTACACAATTGATGACTATAGAAGGGAAAGGATTTGCTTGAGATCACACCACTTGTTATTAGTAGAGACAGAAATAGAACATTAGCCTTCTGATACTCAGCCCACTATATCAAATATAAAATGCTCCCATGTTAGAAAAAAGTCAGAAACAAGATTCATAAAACAATGTCTTTTTATAATTTATCTTTATTGTTGAGAGTATTTCAGATGTCCCCTTTCCCTGCCCCCCACTGTTGACCCTCTCCACCCTACTCCTGCCCCCTCCCCAGGTTTTCACCACACTATTGTCTGTGTCTGTGGGTTATGCATATATGCATATAAATTCTTTGGTTAATCTCTTCCTGCCCCCCACCCCGATATACGTCAGTCTGTTGCATGCTTGAATGTCTCTGGGACTATTTTGTTCATCAGTTTATTTTGTTCATTAAACAATGTCTTAAAAGGCAATTAAAAGCATCTTGAACTGGTTTTTATTATTCTTGTTTCATTGGGAAGAGATAAACATCTATCATCAAAAGGATAATTATTCCAAATAAATAAACTTGCTCAAATCTCATTTCAAAAATAGTAGGTGAATATTTGTTGTTATTTGTATTGGTATTTAAAATGTTTCCTATGATAGTTATACTTTAATAAATGTAAATAGTAGGTTCTACATTAGTTTGATGAATGTACGTATATGAAAATATAAGCTGTAAAACTTTACTTTTAGCAGAATAAAATGTATTCAGTTTAATTATCAATCTCAAAAGATATTTTAAATCAAGACAATTTCCCATTTTCCTTTCAAAGTAATTTACTAAAGAGGTGAGATTTTCAACACATCTTTAAAATGTTTTCGGTTAGGTAAAATGTTAATTAACTATTTGCTCTAGGCAAAGGAAAAATAACAGGATATAATTCTTTAGCAGGTTTTAAAATATTTGTGTGGTAGAGAGGTCTTGATATATAACAATTTATTACATTAAAATTTCCATTTTAAGTAATCTTTAATTAAAATATGAAGCAGATATAATTTGTAGAGTGTATTCATATTTTGTCACAATTTAATTTTGAAGAAAACTATTTTGTTTTCTATATTTTAGACCATAACTCAATCTCTAAATTGAAAACAACCACCATAGCAAATATTCTGAAACATACCACACATCAATGCAATATTCAATGAGACATAATTCCATTGGATATGCCAAAATTATTAACTCACATAAAAATCAATACTTTTGTGTCAAATTAATAATTTTCAGTTTTGAAAAACATAGAGTGAACTCTGAAATAAGAGATGATATTTAAACATTTTCACTAAAGGTAAGAAAATAGTCTTTTTTAAAAATTTATCTTTATTATTGACAGTATTACAGATGTCTCCTTTTTTCCCCCATTGATTCCTTCCACTCTGCATCCACCCCACTCCCAGGCCTTCCCCATAACAATGTCTGTGTCCATGGGTTATGCTTATAGACATATAAGTTCTTTGATTAATCTCTCCATACCACTCCCCCATCCCCAATTTCCTTTTGAGAATTCTCAGTCTGTTCCATGCTTCTGTGTCTCTGGATCTATTTTGTAAATCAGATTATTTTGTTCATAATATTCCACATGTGAATGAGATCATGTGGTACTTGTCTTTCTCTGACTGGCTTATTTTGCTTAGCATAATACTCTCCAGGTCCATCCATGCTGTCCCAAAGGGTAAGAGATTCTTTTTTTACAGCTGCATAGTATTCCATCTTGTAAATGTACCATAGCGCTTTTATCCANTTCCACATATGAGTGAGATTATATGATACTTGTCTTTCTCTGACTTATTTCACATAGCATAATACTCTCCAGTTCCATCCATTCTGTCCCAAAGGGTAAGAGATCCTTCTTTTTTTGTGTGTGTGTAAATGTACCGCAGCTTTTTTATCTACTTATATGCTGATGGGCACTTGGGCTGTTTCCTGATCTTAGCTATTGTAAATTGAGTAGGTAGTCTTTTGAAGTGGGTAATGTCTCCCTTGCAATATTGCTAAAACAGCTCTTAGGGGATAGATTGTGGGAATAAAGAAGAGATGATTCATTTGTAGCTAGAAATGGATGTGAAGCCATCACTTTTGGGAAGAAATCATTTTAATATGCTATATAAAAGTGAATCATCACATGTGTAATGTTTAATCATTCTGGTTAGAGGGTAACCAACACTGGGTATCATTTAAAGAGTTTAGAATGATATAAAATGACTCTCACATCCTTACTTCTACTCCCCACTACCAAAGTAACCAGGGCACAAGCCAAACACCCGAATATATTTCTTTGAAAAAAATTACAGTACAGAAGGTTGGTAGATACTTTTTTATTATTTCATATGAATGTAAGTTGACATGTAGAATTGATTTTTCCCACTTTGCTCTAAATAAAATCCCAAAATATTGTTATCCTCTCATACTTCTAAAAAGTTAAAAAAAATATTCATTTGAAAATTAAGGTAGGGAATAGTTTTCCTGAGAGGTTTTAGATATTTTTACATAATAGTGAAAGTGTTTTGTTGCTAAAATTCTCAAATTTAAAATAGACCTGTTTTCTAAAGATATCTTGTCTGTCACAATGAATTTCTTGAATGTAAAGTAGTTCTTTTGCTGTCAGGTAAATGTAAGAATTTCTACCAAATGAGATTTACATCTAAGTAAGAACAGAGATGTATTTATCAATTTCTATATATGATGTAATTTGTTTTAGAACTTCCTAAGAAGATAAAAATGCATAAAAATACATTAGTTGATTAGGAAGTGTTGAACTGCAACAGCACACAGAATGGTAACTAGTGCAAATCTTATCATAAGGAGTAGAATACACATATCATTGCTCATCTCTATCCTGGGCTTTTCATCTTTATCTTCACTAGGGCAGCTTGCCCCCTTTCCTTCACCGCCTTTGCCAGTCCCTAGCTGTTGCTTATGAGTTGAGAAGAGAGCACTGGGGCTATACGGTCCCCAGAGCTGTTGTAACCCAGCAGAATTCTGATATTGGCGTCCGGCGCAGACCTTGAAGCGATAATGTGAATTTGTGAGAAAGTTGGAAAAGGAGAATGAAGTGTCTGGTCCTTTGTAAATCTAATGGAAAAGGAGTAAAAATGAAAATTATATTTTATTACCAAATAGAATATCATAGTGTAGTTTTCCACAACAGGAAAAATATGAATTAATCCATTCATTTCATGAATATGTAAACACAAAAAATTAAAGTTTACTTTTATAGTCTCTAATGTCCTGAGAGGATCCAGTACTGCTTACATAATTTTGTTCAATGGAGAAAATAACAAAGACTTCTAATTGTAAAACTTTAATTGCATTTGGTTTGGAATTAGTTTGGCATATATGGCCAGTGGAACCTAGAAATACCAAATCACTCAATATTAAATGAATAAGTTAATTAAGTCCCAAAATAAGCATTATGTACATAAAACTTTAGGGACCAGATATGACTTTTGGATAAGATTTAGTTACTTTAAACATCCTGTAAGAACACCTTACTCCTTGACAAGAACCCAATCCCCAGCAGGATATAAAACTATAAAATTTTAAAGACTAAATTTGCAAAAATTTACCAGGAGAGTTCCTTTTTCATTGATGAGTTGAAGGCTGTAAACAATGGGATCTCCTTTTATTGGCTCCAAAGACTCCCATTTGACCTCACAAATATTGCTATTCACCTGATGTAATTTAGGTGCTAGAAAAACAGAATTTCAGTTTAGAGGGTTTCATCTTTTCCTAGATCTTGAATACATTGAAATCTCTCATATAATTTTCCATGATCATTAAAAGGTAGCTCACGTAGGCTTAACTTAAGAGATATATAGTTATAGTTCTTATTGTAAAACCTTTTTGCTATACCATCAGGCATCTTAAGGATTGTAATAAAAACTTTAAGAACAATGATTTTTGCTTTTCTAGTAAGCTTTTATTACAACTTTTATTACTATTGTTTAATCCCTACTGGTATAATGTCTTGTATTTTATTTATATGGTGTACCTTATATTTGGAAGCATTTTAATATTCACTAATAATTTTATTTTAGGATTACAGCAACTGTGTGGATAAACCAGCCCAGGATCTTTATTTTATGTTAATCTCTCCACATTTCAGGAAAATGAGGCTTAAATATGTAGGAAGAGAGGGAGGCATTATTGTGGTCTCAGTCATGTTTAATTCCAATATGTTCCAGTTAGCTTTACACTGAAAATAAGTGATTTCAGAATACTGATTGGACTCATGTAAATGGATTGGAACAACCAAATTTCATAACTTGGAAGAAAAAAATCCTCAAAACTCAAGCTTTCAAGACTGTAAATTGGCCCCATTATGTATTACAAACCAAAGTTTATTTTACTATTCAAATAAGGAGAGAAAATTCAGTTTCAAAAATTACCAAGTATGTATAATTACCAAATATGAAGCTATGAATTTGTACTAAATATGTATCAAAAACTAAGTTCATATGGTCTTATTTTTTCAGCTTTCATCAGTATAATCACACCTGTTAGTTGATGAGTTTTGTGTACATTTGAGAAAATACAAGATATAGCAAGGAATGACTATCATGACAAAGTGAAAGGAGAACTACAATGGAAATAAGGAGTTTATAATTCTAATATTGGCTCTGCCACTGGCTCATAGAGTGTGTTAGTCAAGTTTCTTACTGTTCTGGGGTCTTAGCTTCTTCCTCTTAAAAATGGCTGTGGAGATAGAGGGATTGGCTGGATTAGTTGATCTCAAAGATATTTTAAAAAATATGATTCTGGGAGTCTCATTAATTTTACATTGCCCTTTGAATCCATAATTACTAGTATCTTTTGGTATCATATTGTTGAACATTTAAAATAAACCTTACTGTGGAGTTTTGTATATGTGCTATTGAAACTCAAATTAATGCAATCTTTATTGCCATGGCTTATAACACTTACCTTTAAGTGTGGCTGGTGGAGTTTTGGTTGTAGTGAAAGTATAGATACCAGACAGTGGTCCCTCACCAGCTTCATTACATGCCTGGATTTTAAATTTGTATTGAGTATATTCACTCAATCTTTGCACTTTGTGAGTCTGACTAGATCCATGGTAAATGATAGAAAATCTGGGAGTGGAAATCAAGATGGCAGAAGCAATATTGTTAATCAGCAGTCATACCGGTACAAATAACTCTATATAACTAATTTAAAACATGGTGTTAAAACCTCAGTAAGTCCTAAATATATCAACTTGAAACCAGATAGGTAAAACACAAAAGAAAAAAAAATCAGGTTGTAAATATCATAATGGCAAGGTGCTGGCTTTCATATTTCTTGGTAACTTCTCTTTTCTGGTATTAATGTATGCTGTATAAAGGAAGAAGTGTTTTGAAAGAGACAAAAATAGCTAAATTAACAGTAGGAATTGAAGAATGTAAATCTAACATGGGAATGGCTGCTTTCACATCTATTAGTTCACTGAAACCACTTAGATTATAAGATTAAGACAGGAAATTTTAAAACATTTTCATTAGAATCCATGTTAAATAGTGAAAATAGTTTACCTGCCAGATTGATCTCCCATTAACAAATTGTAGCTTATAAGGTTGGAAAGTAACCCTTTGCTTGAAGAGTTACCCCACTTCAATTTGAGGCTCTGGTGTCCATAGACCACACAGTAAAGATGTGGAGGCTCAGGTGGTAGTGGCTTGGTTTTGGTTCTTATTGATTGGCTAAAAGGGCTTAGTCCATAATAATTGATAGCTTGAATTCTGATTCTAGTGGTGAGAAGAAAAAATTAGGCTACACTAATTTATATTTAGAAAAAAAAATTTCTTCCTTTAAGCTAAACCCCTAGTAAGCCTATGTATGATATTGACCATCATATCATACTAATTATTAGAGACAAATTTTTGAGACAAAAATCTTGAATTTGCATAATCACTATTGACAATTCTTGATGAGGAGAAACTGACTCTTAGTAATGCCAGATTTTTCTAAAACAGTAAAACTCTCTTTCAAAGGAAACTATGTAGAATATATAAAACATACAAATGTAGATTTGCTCAAAATTCTCAAAAAGTTTTTTATCTACCCAAAGTAAGATATAAGTGACATACTTGTATGTGGTGTCAGGCTGTAGATTTTTCAGAAGACACTCTGTTACTCTACCAACAGTCAACATTTTTCTGTCTCCATAGTGAATGTTATATCCAGTGATTGGAGAGCCATGGCAATCTGGTTCCTCCCACTGAATAGCAATGCAAGATGATGCCAATTTGGCAGAAACTTTGTTTTTAACTTCATGTAACTTTGGTACTATTGCTGGCACAGTTGCTGGTGTGGTTACTGTGCCAGTTCCTCCAAACATTCCAACTCCAACTATATTTACAGCCTGAAAGATTATACCATGTTAGAGATTCATTATTACTTTCTTTTTTGTGCATAAACCATTTTGCTCCAAAAATAAAATAAATTTTATTTCATTTTATTTTTTAAATTAAATTTATTGGGGTGACATTGCTTAATGAGATTATATAGGCTTCAAGTGTACATTTCTATGATACATGGTCTGTATATTGCATTGTGTACCCACCACCCAAAGTCAAATTATCTTCCTTTACCATATATTTGGTGCCCTTTACCCCTTTCTGTCCCCCTTCCCTCTGTTAACCACCATACTGTTGTCTGTGTCTATGAGTGTTTGTTTGTGTTTCTTGTTTGTTTGTTTGTTGCATTCAGATTTATATTCTACATATGAGTGAAATCATATGGTTCTTAACTTCTTCTGTCTGACTTATTTCACTTAGCATAATATTCTTAAGGTCCATCCATATTGTCACCAATAGAGAACAAAAAGACTACACAAAAACTAATACAACAAAAAGCTGGTTCTTTGAAAAGGTTAATAAAATTAACAAACCCCAGGCTAGACTCACTAAGAAAAAAGAGAAGAGACTCATATACATACACCAAACCAGAAATGAAAGAGGAGAAGTCACCACAGACATCACAGAAATACAAAGGATCATACTAGAATACTATGAAAGACTATATGTCACCAAATTCAATAACTCAGAAAAAATAAATTCCTAGAAATACATATCCTTCCTAGATTGAATTATGAAGAACTGAAAAATTGAAATAGACTGAACAACTGTGAGGAAATTGAAATAACCATCAAAAATCTCCCCAAAAATAAAAGTCCAGGACCAGATGGCTTCACTAGTGAATTCTACCAAATAATCAAAGAAGATTTAAAACCTATTCTTCTCAAACTCTTCCAAGAAATTGAAGAAGAGGCAGTACTTCCTAACACATTTTATGAGGCCAACATAACCCTGATACCAAACCTGGCAAAGATAACATAAAAACAGAAAATTATAGACCAATATCTCTGATGAATACAGATGCAAAAATCCTAAACAAATACTAGCAAATGAAATACAACAATTTATTAAACAATACATCACGATCAAGTGGGGTTCATTCCAGGGGAACAGAGTGGTTCAACATATGTAAATCAATCAATGTAATACATCACAGTAACAAAACAAAGGATAAAAATCATATGATCTTAACAATAGATGCAGAAAAAGCATTTGATAAGGTACAAACTCCATTTATGATTAAAACAAAATGAGAATAGAAGAACAGTATCTTAACATAATAAAGGCCATACATGACAAACCCTTAGCTAATATACTCAATGGTGAAAAACTGTAAGCTATTCCTCTAAAATCAGGAACAAGACTATATAATCAGTGGAACAGAACAGAGCACCCAGAAATCAACCCAAGCCATTACCCTCAATTAATATTTGATAAAAGAGGCAAGAACAACAATGGAGTAAAGACAGTTTCTTCAATAAATGGTGGTGGGAAAAATGTACAGGTACATAAAAAAAATGAAACTTGACCACCAACTCACACCATACACAAGAATAAATTCAAAGTGGATAAAAGACTTAAATGTAAATTGTGAAACCATAAAAATCCTAGAAGAAAACATAGGCGGCAAAACCTCAGACGTCTCTCATAGTAGTATGTTTGCTGATACATCTTCTAGGGCAAGGGAAACAAAGAAGAAAATAAACAAAGGGGACTGCAACAAAATAAAAAGCTTCTTCACAGTAAAAGAAACCATCAACAAAATGAAAGGGGAGCCCACTGTATGGGAGAACATACTTGCCAATGATATATCTGATAAGGGGTTAATATCCACAATATATAAGGAACTCATACAATTTAACATAAGGAAGACAAACAATCCAATTAAAAAATGGGCAAAGGACCTAAACAGACACTTTTCCAAAGTGGACATACACAAGGCTAAGAGACATACAAAAAAATACTCAAAGTCACTATTACCAGAGATGCAAATGAAAACCACAATGGTGTATCACCTATCACCTCATACCTGTCAGAATGGCTGCCATCAACAAATCAACAAACAACAAGCGCTGACAAGGATGTGGAGAAAAGGGAACCCTAGTACACTGCTGGTGGGAATGCAGACTGGTGCAGCCATTGTGGAAAACAGTATGGAGGTTCCTAAAAAAATTAAATATGGAACTACCATTTCACCTAGTGATCCCACATCTAGGAATATATCCTTAGAAACCCAAAACACCAATCAGAAAGAAATGCACCCCTTTGTTCATAGCAGTGCAATTTACAATAGCTAAGATCTGGAAATAGCCCAAGTACCCATCAGTAGATGAGTGGATAAAAAAAGCTGTGGGACATTTACACCATGGAATACTATGCAGGTGTGAGAAACAAGGATCTCTTACCCTTTTGGGACAGCATGGAGGGAACTGGAGAGTATTATGCTGAGCGAAATAAGACAGAGAAAGAAAAACATCACATGATCTCACTCATATGTTGAATCTAATGAACAAAATAAACTTATGAACAGAATATATCCAGAGACACAGAAGCATGGAACAGATGGATGAATATGAGGGAAGGTGGTGGTGGGAGAGTGAGTGGGGAGAGGTTAATCAAAAACTTATAAGCATATATGCATAAGCCATGGACATAGACAATAGTATGGTGAAGGCCTGGGGTGGTGGATGAAGAGTTGAGGGGATCAATGAGGGAAATAAAGAAGAACATCTCCAATACTTTGAACAAAGCAATAAATTAAAAAAAATACTACACTGTCTTGATTACTATAGTTATACAGTAAGCTTTAACATTAGGTAGAATGATTTCTTCCACCTTAAATTTCTCTTTCAAGATTAATTTGTTTATTCTAGGTCTTATTACATTTCATATACATTTTAGAATGAGATTGCATGTATCTTTCTAAATTGATATGATCATATGGACTTTCTTCTCCAGCCTGTTAGTATAGTAGATTGCATTGGTTGATTTTCCAATTTTTTTGTTGTTGACAGTATTACAGATGTCCCCCATTTTCCTCACTCTGCCCCCCTCTACTCAGCCCCTGCTCCACCCAGGTCTTCACTACCCTATTATATGTGTTCATGGCATATGCATATAAGTCCTTTGGTTAATCTGTTCCCACTGCCCTTCCCTCCTTCCCTCTGATATTCGGCAGTCTGTTCCATGCATCTATGCTTCTGGACCTATTTTGTTTGTCAGTTTATTTTGTTCATTAGGTTCCACATATAAGTGAGATCATGTGATATTTGTCTTTCTCTGAATGGCTTATTTGCTTAGCATAATAATCTCTAGGTCTATCCATGCTGTATCAGAGGGTAAGAGATTCTTCTTTTTTACATCCGTATTCCATTGTGCAAATGTACTACAGCTTTTGTATCCAGTCGTCTACTGAGGGGCACTTAGCCTGTTTCCAGATCTTAGCTATTGTAAATAATGCTGCTATGAACATAGGGGGTGAATAAATTCTTTCTGATTGGTGTTTTGGGTTTCTTAGGGTATATTCCCAGAAGTGGGGTCACTGGGTCAAATGGCAACTCCATTTTTAATTTTTGAGGAAGCTCCATAATGTTTTCCGTAGTGGCCGCACCAGTCAGCATTCCCACCAGCAGTACACTAGGGTTCTTTTTTGTCCACATCCTTGCCAGTACTTTTTATTGATTTGTTGATGGTAGCATTCTGGCAGGTGTGAGGTGATACTTCTTTGTGGCTTTAATTTGCATCTCTCTGATGATTAGTGACATTGAGCATTTTTTCATGTCTTTTGGCCATCTGTATGTCCTCTTTGGAGAAGTGCCTATTCAGGTCCATTGCCCATTTGAGTTTTGGAAGGTTGTGTTTTCAGGAATTTTTTTTTTTTTTGGTAAAATATGTTTTTATTGATTTCAGAGAGAGGAAGTGAGAGGGAGAGAGAGAGAGAGAGAAACATCTGATGGGAGAGAGTCATTGGTTGGCTGCCTCCTGCAATCTCACTGCTTGGGATTGAGCCTGCAACCCAGGCATGTGTCCTGATCAAGATTTGAACTGTGATCTCCTGAGCCACACCAGCCAGGCTACTTTGCCTCTTTTATTTTTGTTTTTATTTATTTGGGTCCTCTCTCTTTGTTTCTGATGAGTCTGTCTACAGGGTCATCGAACTTGTTTATCTTTTCAATGAACCAGCTCTTGGTTTCATTGATCTTTTGTATTGTTTTTTATGTTTAGTCTCTATGTCATTTATTTCTGTTCTGATCTTTATTAATCCCTTCCTTCTACTTTGGGTTTTTCTTGTTGTTCTCTTTCTAGTTCTTTTGTTTTAGGGTTAGATCACTTATTTGAGATTTTTCTTGTTTCTTGAGGTAATGCTATGAACTTCCCTCTTAGGCCTGCTTTCACTGTGTCCCATAGATTTTAGGTTGTTGTGTGTTCATTTTCATTTGATTCCAGTATGTTTTTTATTTCTTCCTTGGTCTCATCATTAACCCATTCATTGTTTAATAACATGCTATTTAGCTTCCATGTGTTTAAATATATATCTTTTTAAAATATATCTTTATTGATTTCAGAGAGAGGAAGGGAGAGGGAGAGAGATAGAAATATCAATGATGAGAGAGTCATTGATTGGCTGCAGCCCGCGGCCCGGGCATGTGCCCTGACCGGGAATCAAACCCTGATCTCCTGGATCCTAGGTCAATGCTCAACCGCTGAGCCATGCCCAACTGGCTGTTTGAATATTTTTTAGTGTTTTTATTGTAGCTGATTTCTAGTTTCATGCCATTCTGATCTGAGACGACAGCTGATATGATTTCAATCTTCTTCAACTTGTAAAGACTTATTTTGTGTCCTAACAAGTGGTCTATATTTGAGAAAGTTTCATGTGCACTTGAGAAGAATGTATATTCTGAAGCTCTGGGGTGAAATATTCTGTAAATATCAATTAAATCCATCTGATCTAGTGTGTCATTTAAGGTCACTCACTGTTTCCTTGTTGGTTGTTTGGTCTGGA